ATAGAAACATGTCAGTGATAACAGCTGGACTGAGATCAGCTGCTCTAAAACACAGAATGAACAACCAAAGAGAGTCTGAGGAAACACACAGTTGGTTTCTTCTTGATGCTGCTGATGGAAGTACTCAGTTATGTCTGTGAGTGTTCACAATCATATGTCAGCTCTTTGTTTTCCTACAACATAAGAGAACTGTTTACATTGATTCACTCTGGAGTTCCTTTAAGAAGAGTTGTTGTCAGTACATTGTTTCACTGTGTTCTGGGTGCAGTGCAGATTATATGCTGTTTTTTTATGTGTTCCTATCAGGAGGAAGCTGGAAAAACCAAAACGCAGCAGTGTGTCCAGGAAGAGAGCGAGGTATGTGAAACGTTACTCTGTTGAAGAAAAAAACAGTGTGTTGGTGTCAGATTCTCAGTTGTGAGGAAGTTATAAAATCATCAATCATCAAAACAATTAGTAAAAGAAAGTAAAACAATAGTAAAAGATACTTCCGAACATTAAAATTCAAGTAAAATCAGGAAAGGCCCTCCGATAAAAGTCTGTTTAAGGGACTTAAGATCGACCACTGACCCAGCTGACCTGATTTCCTTGGGCAGATTGTTGACTGCCAGTGCTTCCTAGCTAGAGAACTCTCAAGGCTTTACCTCAATAGCTGCACCAGTTCACATACAGGCCAAACAGGCATACACTGCCCTCATCCCACAAAGGGAATACATAGGTAAGAATTCTCTTCAGTGATTACACATCGGCAATCAATACATCCATTTCCTCAAAACATCTGTAAGCTTATCAGTGGAATTGAACTGGAAACCTGCAGCTGGATATTTGACTTCCTGGCCGGCAATAGCTTTAAGTTCCTCGGTGTGAACTAGAGAGGTCCCGATCAAGATTCTTTGGTCTTTTCATATCATATTGAGTATCTGCCAATACCTTGTTGCGATGTGATCCTTGATAATACAGGTGCACATTCCATACTTCAAGAACATTAAAGTTATTAAAATCAATCCAAAGTATATGCCTGACAATTGAAAAGATCTGCATTGCGTCAAGAAAAACAATGCCTGTATTTAAACTGTTCCTTAACGTTAAAAATTAATTATTAGCTTTTTGTTTGTGGGGTTTTTGTTGCACTTGCTAGGGGAAACCAACCTGAACCTGATTCAATGTTGTAATCAACACTTTAACTCAAAGGACCTTTACCTTGTGTTTGTCTCTGTGTGGACAGACATAATGTGAGCTCATTCTTCATGATTCCTCCACAGAGTGGACCAGGAGAGCTCAGAGATTCCCAGTGGTCAGTCTGCCCAGCAGCATCAAACACACCTGGACTCCATATTTATGGTCTGTACATGGACAACAACTACTTTTACATCTATTGTGTTCACAATAATCTCCATGCTGCACTTTTTAGACCAGTGGATTGTCTGTCCAACATGGATCTGATGTTTGCTTC